TTTCATTAGTAAAATTATGAGTAATTCCGGCTTAATTTTTTTAGCCAATCAAAATCGAGGATCTGCCGCGCATTTTTTTGCGGCACCTAGGTTCAATAAATCAATGAATGTACGCTGCGCAGATCCAATTTACATCACTGGTTAGGTGATAAGTTAGTTTAGGCTAATTTGTTTAGTGCTAGTAAACAAATAATATAACTGCATGACTTGTTCTACAAGTGTCCCGTAAATTTATTTAAATCTCATCAGCTTTTACTTCTGGGACAACTCCGATAGTTTTCCATTTTATACATTCTAATTATCTTTCATTAAAATACTCTAATTTCACAATTAGGATTAAGCGCGATAGCGGTTATAATTTTGTTAATTCCTTGAAGAGATTTATTATATGATTCATCTAAAGTGTTATCATTAAGTGTGTGTTTTTCTTAATAAAATCACAAGATCGTTTAATTGAGAACTCGGAAATTTTATCAGGAATCCTCTAATTATGGCTGTAAACCAATAAAAATAAAATATAAATAATATATATATATCAAAATACAGAATAGCTGAAAATCTTGGAAATTATTGATGTCAAATAAAACTTACTTGTTGAAAACAGTGAACAATTCATCATAAACTTCAAGGATGACTTCAGTGGGCTTTTTGAATGGTGAATTAGCAAAATTCACTGTAGCATATTTAGGAACTTGAAATTTATTCGGATAAGAAGCTCTAAAGCTAAATAAACCATTTGAATCTGCCAATCTTTCTCCACCACCTACTTGCAATTTTAACAAATTTAAAAGCATATAATTAAAGTGGTTAACAAAAGAATTCACTATGAAAGGATATTTTTAATATCAATTACTTATGCATAAAATAGGTGGAAAATTTCCCAAGCTTTCAGCCAACATTGGACTAACATGAGGAATGGCTAAAGCTACATTTGCGCAATATAATCTAAATCTTGGAACTTTGGTAAAAGAAGGATGACTGACCACTTTTGGTTTTTTTTGCTTAATTTTTTCTGCAAGAATTTTTACGCGTTCATGGAATTCAATTGACATAGAAGAAGAAAGTGGTTTAAACTTAGGAATTCTAGCATAGCAGTAATATAATCTGTTTTATCCATTTCAGGATCCTGACATGATGGCATGCTATTTGTTGAATCTACCCATGGAGACTTTTAAAATTTATTATTGTTAAAAGAAAAAATTAATGCAATAATTTGATGGAATAATTTAAAGTAAATACTTAGTTAATAAATATAATATTAATAGAGATACCCATAAAACAAACCCTTATGGCAATGCAATGGCAAACCAGCGTCACGGAGGAATAATGCAGTAGCAACAGCCAATTCACCACCAGCACTAGAACCTGAAATATATAATTTTCTTAGGATTAAATGATTCAAATCCAGCTTCTGGTCCAGGATTAGTAAGATATAAATATACTGCTAAAGCATCACAAAGTGCAGCAGGAAATTGATGTTCTGGAGAAAGTCGATAATTTATTGCTATTTTATTTAATACATGTAAATATATATAAAAAAAAAAAATTAATTATCATTGTTGAACTAAAAATATGAACTAAAAAAATGCGATAAATAAAATTTAAGATAATTTACAAAAAACTGGACATTCAGCAGTTTCGGCAATTTTACAAGTAAGGAAACGACTCATTTCAGCTGATCTCCTAGCATATCATCCACCGAAGAGGTAAAGTACTACTCTTCCTGAATCTTTAATATCTTAGATCTTAATCCATTCTCCATATAATCCATTATTATCGAGACATTGCCATTTTAACGTCTTCATATATTTTTAATTAATTCACAAGTATTCCTTGCTTTTGATCACATACATTTCATCCAATTTAACCTCGTCCACAATGAAATTATCTGGAATTGTTGTAGGAGTGAAATTATTTTTCCTTACATCTTCTAAAGACATATTAAAGGTTTCAATATGATTCTTGAGTTGGTTTAATATTTTGTAATATTGTGGAGACAACGAATATTGAGACATTTTGATATTTATGTCAGTACGTATGGTGGAAGAAATCTAAAAAATCTTGGATCTTTTTATATTGAAGCAATGCATCAAGAAACAAATATCTTATTAAAGATAATCTATTTATTGTTCTCAATAGAAACTTATTAGTGACCCCATTAGGGATAGCGATAACCAAATTTATTACAACTTATCAATGAGATCAATGGATCAAAAATTTATTATTTTTGAAGGGAATAAAGTCAGATTTAGTCAATTATTTTTATAATGTACTTGTGTAATGTTGCTGAAAATCAGTCTTTAAATGAAAAATTAAGTTTTCTTAAAAATTTTTCTTACTAAATATCGTATTGATCTGTTTCAAGAAATTATTTTAGAAACAAGTACAGTAATTATGTAAGTGCACTGATCAATCTCTATTGATTTCTTATTTCAATATATATTGATATACAGTATCAGAAGCGAAGTGATATGTAATATTACAAAGTATATGGTTGCTTACGACATTTTTAATAATGTACTATTATAGCTAATTGGATAATGCATTAAACGCGGTAAAAACGTGAATAAATTTGTTTAACATAACATAATGATCATTTATAAAATGGAAGCTTGTCAACGAAGACCATTATTGCGAGATCAGATGACTTTATGGTTTTTTATGCTATGGTCATTATGGTATCTCGTTGAATGCAAAAATTTTCTGGTTTGTGATTGCATATGATTGTTAAGATCCGAATCGGGCAACTTTGCCATTATGATGACAAATATTTACTTAAAGGTTTCACTCTCTGACACTCAAATGAGCTTTTTCATGGAAGCAAAATCCTCAACTTAATAGGCTAAATCAGTTCAAATGACCGTCGACACATAATGTAAAGTTTCCCTTAACATTAGAACATATTTATGCTTACGAAAGAACTTCAAATTTACAGTAATCGATGCGCTAGCGATAGATATCTAGAAAATTTATCATCCCATAATAATGATTGTTTATTGTCACAGATAATAATGAAATCGGATGAAAATGAAGTTTGAGACTTCTATTTAATCCCTTAAAACCTAAAGCTGACCCTAACCCTAAAAAATGCATTCCAAAAATTTGTATTTTTCGGTGGCATATCTATTTTATACTACACAAAATTTCATTTTAATCTTGCTAGTTTTTATCCGTCGCATTTATTGATTTACACATTTAGCGTGAATACATAGTATGTAGCTATAAATTTCGAGGTTATAACTTGATAATTTAATGTGAGGAACATATTTACTTTAATTTAGTTGTTGAGTATACAACAGTCCAGTAATCGAATTATTTAAGCTATTTCAGCTAAATAATTTTGTTCGAATTGGTGTGCAAATTATCATTTTTCAAAATTTCATGAGCATGATTTGACTGGGCCGCTTGAATTATAAAAATCATGTGCAAATTTGCACATAACAAGCATTTTGCCTTACCACTTATTTATTTATGAATTCATTCTTTTTCCACGCCAATTCCGTAATAGCAGTTTTATAGATTCCATCAAAGTTACCCTTTAAGCAGACTTTTGGCAACGCTCATATTCTGTGTTTATTTCATTTTCGATTTCTAAATAATAAGAATTAAATTGATGCATTATACTAGAAGTATTCATGTTACTAATTTTTGAAAAAATTCCATCGTTAATCGAATTAATGTCGATTCACATTTCTGTATAATTAGTTTAATCGGTTCTACAGACGATTACAGATCACTATGTCATGTGGAAATCGGTGATAATATCAATTTTAAGAATTTTTCGATTTCAAAGATATATAAACGTACTGATCGAAAATATAAAACAACAATCTAAAATCCTGGAAATTTTTCCCACTCATCATTACAAAAATCATGTGCCACATCTTTTTGCAAAGCACTATACCATATTGTCGCGAAATAACGCACGGGATGTAATTTCAAATTTGGCCTAAATTAATTTTAATTCGTTCCGATTTAAGAGAATCTTACAGATTTCAACGAATGTGTAGATACGTTAGAAAATATACTAATCAATAGAAAATCTAGAATCTCGAAAATTTTCATCGATCACAAAAATCATGGGATCACAATAAATACTGTATTTAAAAGCCTGGATTTTTGATAATTGTCCTCTTACATATGTTTATTATAAAAAATTATAGAGTACAATGTATTATTAAAACTTTAAACCTAAAGTTTGTACAGCAATTTTATAATAGGTTGATTTTATTTATTATCTAATTTGTCACTTTTAAATCTGTATAAACAAATACAGAAAAATATGATTAAAATATAAATAATCCAGTTACAGCTAGAGCTAAACATCATCACTTGAAAAATGAATAAGAATTGTATAAATATTTAATGAAAACAAATATTAATTATATTGAAAAAGTACAGTAGTTTTTATTGTTAAATTATAAAATATAAGCAAATGCAAATCCTACGAGAGGTCTTATGGCAATTCTATTTTAATATATAGATATGTATGAATAAGCTAATTACCATACAATGATCAGAACCAGATTGAAATAATAGTTTTATTGACTTAAAAGGTTATCAATTTTAAATAAATAAATAAATAAATAAAGTTTAACATTGCATATAAACAAAAAAGTAGATAAATATAGTATCGATATTGTATATAAAGATTATTTATATTTCCGTCCATCCGTTTGTAAGAATTATTAAGCATGTTTTCAATCATAAAATTGTTATTATGATGTTGATCAATGATTGAGTGTTCACTGATAATAAAGAAATTATCCGAGTCTATACATTCATTGCTTTGTTGCTCGATATTATATGAGATTATACATTCATTACTTTGTTGCTTATCGGTGATTAGTTGCTCGCTGATACATTTAATAAATTTGCTGATATATATTTTACTACTATCAGTATTAATGTTAAAAGTATAATCTTTTAACTCAATCGCTTTATCAGATTTCGAAAATTCCGACAAAAGTTTAAATCATTTTTCCAACTCCTAATAGTTTCATAAATTTCTAAGGCGGATGGTCGTTTTAATGGATTACTATTCCAGCAACTCTCTAAAAGATTTTGGTAACATAATGGTATACTTTTGATAATTTTCGGTCTTAATCCGTTCCAAATTGCTGCAGCTAAGACTGAATCGTTATATTTATAACGCTCATATTCAGATGACACAGTCCTTCCCGATGAAATTTCCCATATAATTATTCCAAAAGAATAAACGTCTGATGCACTTGTGTAAGATTCTCCACATAAAAGCTCTGGTGCTATGTATGATAAATTTCCATAAACTCTTCCAGATTTTGACCTTAATTCATCATTTGCTAACCTAGAAAGTCCCAAATCACCAATGTAAGCGTTAAATAAATCATTTTGAAATATATTACCACTATGTAAATCACAATGAATAATATTATGTGAATGAATTAACTGAAGATCATATGCAATACAACTTAATAATCCTAACTTCTTTTCCCACGGCATTTGTGCAATAGTGAAAAGATTTTGACATAAAGATCCCATCCGCGCATATTGTATAATTAAAATATGCTCATTTGTATCTTCATTCCTTGATATTCCATAGCACTGCAAAAATGTTGGATTTTTGCTTCCAATATTATAATACGTACTTAACTATAAAAATACAATATACAACATTAATAGAATAAATACACATAAAAAATATTAAATTTCTAAATATATTATGAATATACCTCTTTAGAAAGCTCTTCACGGCCAGTTCCGGATCTATCAAATACTTTAAGAGCGACAGGTAGTGCTTGTGTTTCTCCATTAAGTAATTGTATCCATGTAGCACCATATACAGTTGCAAATCCTCCTTCTCCAATTTTCCCAACAATATTTAGTTCATTAAACGGTATCCACATGATTGATGGCGAATTATTTTTATGTAATAGTGCTTTTGAAAAATCATCTATGTTGAATTCTTCACGGTCACCGATCATTTTATGTCTGTTATTTTTTGCTTTTTGTAACCATTCGTTTGCTTTTTCTTGATTTTGTAATGTTCCAAAACCATTTCGATAGCATAATCCAAGATGCTCTTGCCCAAGTGAATAACCACCTTCAGCAGATTTCAAATACCACTTAAATGCCTCTTTTTCATCCTCATGATCTTCATAGTAGGCTCCAAGATTATTTTGCCCAATAGGATCTCCGCTTTCAGCAGATTTTAATAGCCAATAAAACGCTTTTTCATCATCTTTGGCAATACTTACTCCGTATCTATAGTTGAATCCAAGAGTAGTTTGTGCTCTAGCATTTCCGCCTTCGGCTGCTTTCAAATACCATATAAATGCTTCCTTTTCATCTTTAGCAGTACCTATTCCATATTCATAGCAGACTCCAAGGCCGAATTGCCCATTAGGGTTGTTTTTTTCTGCAGATTTCAAACACCATTCAAGCGCCTTCATTTCATTCTTTGCAGTACCTATTCCATTTAGATAGCAGAGTCCAAGAACACCTTGCCCTTCAGAATTACCACCTTCGGCGGATTTTAGGTACCACTCAAATTCCTTTTTTTCATTCTTAACTGTACCTATGCCACTTCTGTAACATACTCCAAGATTGTATTGTCCACGGGAATTGCCACTTTCGGCGGATTTCAGATACCATTTAAATGCTTCCTTTTCATCCTTGGCTGTGCCCATTCCTTTACTATAGCAGTCTCCAAGTTTATCCATCATTCCACCTCTATTAATAATTTTGTCCGTTTTAATTTCATACCATCTAAGTTGTACGCTATAATCGTTATGCTCAATAGATTTCAAATACCACTCAAATGCCTTCTTTTCATCTTGGGGGATACCTATTCCATTTTCAAAACAGCTTGCAAGATTAAATTGGCCATAAATATTACCATCTTCGGCAGATTTCAAATACCATTCGAATGCTTTCCTTTCATCTTTAACAGTACCCCTTCCAATTTGATAGTAAAATCCAAGAATACATTGTACATACGAATTACCACCTTCAGCAGATTTTAAATACCACTCAA